CACCACCTGGGTCCTAGGGGCACAGCGATGCCGGGCGGGGGGGGAGTGACGTCGCCTCTGTTCCAGGAACGAGTGCAGAGCGCAGGTGGACCGCTTCCCCGCCGCCCGGTTCAAGAAGTTTGCCACCGAAGAGGAAGCCTGGGCCTTCGTCAGGAACTCGGGGAGCCCTGGTTCGACAGGTAGTCCCCACGCACATCACTGTCACCTTCGCCTGTGCCCGGCCTCTCCCCTCCCAGGTGCCCCTGTGGCCTGTGCCCGGCCTCTCCCCTCCCAGGTGCCCCTGGGGCCTGTGCCCGGCCTCTCCCCTCCCGGGTGCCCCGGTGGCCTGTGCCCGGCCTCTCCCCTCCCAGGTGCCCCTGTAACTGCACAGCCTCTCCCCTCCCATGTGCCCCTGTAACTGTGCCCGGCCTCTCCCCTCCCAGGTGCCCCTGTAACTGCACGGCCTCTCCCCTCCCAGGTGCCCCTGTGCACGGCCTCTCCCCTCCCATGTGTCCCTGTGCACGGCCTCTCCCCTCCCATGTGTCCCTGTAACTGTGCACGGCCTCTCCCCTCCCAGGTGCCCCTGTAACTGCACGGCCTCTCCCCTCCCAGGTGCCCTGGGGCCTGTGCCCGACCTCTCCCCTCCCGGGTGCCCCTGTAACTGCACAGCCTCTCCCCTCCCAGGTGCCCTGGGGCCTGTGCACGGCCTCTCCCCTCCCAGGTGCCCCTGTAACTGCACAGCCTCTCCCCTCCCAGGTGTCACAAGCCTAGTTCTAGTTTCCATACAAAATTTTGGACTTTGTTTTTTGTGGGGAAAGAGCCCCTGAGATTTTCACTCTGTGATCCCAGCGGGTTCATAAGCCTTTGTGTCTCTGCCGATCCATCCAAACCAGGTTCATGTTTAACAGAAGCTTTGCCCTCACCTTCACGTGGTCCTCGTCAGCTTGTCGTGGGTTTAGAATAATTTCACAGGACATCACAGTCCTTTCCTCTTTACGGGGCCACATGCAGAGGGCACTTGGGTCTGACTCAGTGTTCGCGACACTGAAGGACTCGCTGAACTTGTGGACTCTTAGTCACTGTGTCGGGTTCCTTGCTTCTGGCTTCTGAACCGACTCCGTCTTTCAGGGCAGGAAGATAAGCTCGTGCAAGAATCACAAGTGAGAGCCGGCAAGCGATGCCGGGAGCCCCTGGCCGCAGGGGCGGAGAACGGGGAGCCGCAGGCAAAGCATGTGAAGCAGGCCGGGGAGGCAGCCCCTCCGGTGGGCAAGGACACGTTCTCTTACATGGGTGTGTCTTTCTTGTTTGTTTTTGTTTTTGTTTACTATGTTTGTATCGGTTTCGGAGAGGAAGGGAGAGGGAGAGAGAGATGGAAACATTGATGATGAGAGACAATCCTTGATCAGCTGCCTCCTGCAGGCCCCACACTGGGGATCAAGCCTGCAACCTGGGCACCTGCCCTTGGCCAGAATCGAACCTGGGACCCTTGAGTCCCCAGGCCGACGCTCTCTCCACTGAGCCACACCGGTCAGGGCAGATTTTCTATTTTTAATGTATAATGAAACTGTATGTATAAAAACTCTTCCCCCCTTTTTAATGGGGGAAGTTGGAGCTGATGTGTAACGTCCTCATTCTTAGCCGAAAGGGCATTTTACGTGGAAACCTCCAGCTCCGCCGCAGTAAACCTGTGGGTGAATTTCGGTTTCCCGGGAGGCGGCACTCACTGAGCTTCCATCTCCAGGCGAGTACGTCGTCGTCTACACGGACGGCTGCTGCAGCAGCAATGGACGCCGGCGGGCGCGCGCGGGCATCGGCGTGTACTGGGGGCCCGGCCACCCTTTGTGAGTAAACCGCGCAGCGGGGGCTGGGCTGCAGGCTTCGCCAGGCCACGTTCTGAAACATCCGTGGCTCGGCCTGATTCCTAAGGGCTGCTTTCGTGCGAGGCTTTTGCAGGTCGAATAAGAACATCTATGCTTATAACTTTATTTTTTCTCTACTATTTTGAAACTAGAAATGTGGGCATTAGACTTCCTGGGCGACAGACAAACCAAAGAGCAGAAATTCACGTAAGTTACCAGATAATTTTCCATAACAATGTACGGGCGTGTTCTGTAGCATCGACTCTGAACGTAATGCACTTCCTGCTCTCTGTGTGTGAGACAGTCAGAGTCCAGAAGGAGCTGTGTGGGCCAGTGACAGTTATGAAGGACAGGGCTTTTCTAGAAAAATGATGGAACATGTCCAATAGGTGTGTAAGCGGAATTGTGTACGTGGCATTATCTCACGTGGGAATGTCAGCATCACAGTCCGCACAGGAAAGGGACGCTGCGTCTGAAGTCCCTGAGCGTCTGTCTGTCGGGAGCTGAGCAGGCTCCGTGGTGACGACCGACCTCTCTCTTCAAGGCAGCCTGCAAAGCCATAGAGCAAGCCAGGGCTCAGAACATCTCGAAGCTGGTTCTGTACACAGACAGCATGTTTACCATCAACGGTGAGCTTTCACGTCTTCCTTCTGGGTTTTTCTAGTAAATTTGCCGGGAAATAGGTATTTCCTTCCCTTGTGGGGGGCACTGTATGGGGGGCCCTCGTGTCAGTGGGGCGGCATTAGGTTTGTCGGGGCTGAAGGGAAGGGTGCGGGTCAGGACCCAGCTCTGCTGCTCCAGGGTTTGCCACAGGGTTCCTTTGCCGGGACCAGAGCCAGGGCAGGACGCAGGGGAGGCCCCGCTCGGGGCCCTGGAGGCTCACTGTGTGTGTGACAGGATGGCGTGCTGGCGGCTTCTTGGGAAACTGTGGGAGCACAGGGAGCAATGCTGAGGTTGGGGCGCTTCCTGGAGGAGGTGACGTCCCGGGCTGAGAGCTGTTGGCCGAGTGCGTTTAGAATCGGAGGAGAGGGAGGGCTTCAGGCCCGCGGGCCCGGAGGACAGGAAGGCCAGGGTGCTGCTCAGAATACAGGTGGGCGAGGAAGAGGCGCCGTCCACGGCTCCTAGTCTGGAGGCGTGTCTTCCAGGCATCACCAGCTGGGTCCAGGGCTGGAAGGAGAACGGATGGAGGACGAGCGCCGGGAAGGCGGTGACCAACAAGGAGGACTTCATGGAGCTGGACAGGCTCGTCCAGGGCGTGGACATTCAGTGGGTGAGTGTCTTGATAATAATTTTGTTAAGCTCTGGCCGGTTTGGCTTGGTGGATAGAGCGTCAGCTTGCGGACTGAAGGGTCCCAGGTTCGATTCCCGGTCAGGGCACAGGCCCGGGTTGTGGGCTCCATCCCCAGTGGGGGGCGTGCAGGAGGCAGCCGATCCATGATTCTCTCTCATCATTGCTGTTTCTGTCTCTTTCTCCCTCTTCCTTCCTCTCTGAAATCAATAAAAATATATTAAAAAATAAATAATTTTAAAAAATAATTGTGTTAAACTGTGTGATGAGACCTTAGTAAGAAGACTATCTTTCCAAAATGGAAGTATTTTTTTATAAGAGATGAGTTTTGTTAAAATTACTTTTTCAAACAACCGGGAGCAAGTTGGACAGCACCCGTCTCCCTCCCCTGCCCTGCGGGCCAGCCAGGACCTGAGGGGGCGGGGGCGCTGCGGGAAGCTCGCTGTAGGCGTGAACGTGTTCACACACACAGGGCAGCCTTCCCACAGGTTCAGGGCTGTGAGTGTCGGGGCACCCGCCCTGGTGCACACGCCTGGTGCACACACGTGCTCTGCCTGGAAAGCTTACACACCCGTCGTACGTGGGAAAGAGCAGTACGCACAGGCAGGTCCAGGCTGTGGAGGTCAGGATGGAGCTGTGTCCCTGAGTCCAGGACGCGCAGCAGGAATTGGCCCTGCAGTGTGGCCCGCAGGGGAGGGGCGGGCGGGGCGCCTCCTCAGCTCCCTGGAAGTTGAGCTGCCACTAGGATGCAGGAGTAAAAGGGAAATTCTGCTTCACAGATGCACGTTCCTGGTCACTCGGGGTTTGCAGGCAACGAGGAGGCCGACAGGCTGGCGAGAGAAGGAGCTAAGCAGGCGGAGGGCTGAGCGGCCATGCGCCCTGGGACATCGGTCACTTCCCACGTGAGCAGTGAGACCGCACGAGGGGAGAGACCCTCCCACGCCCACTCAGGAGCAGCTGGTGTCCTGACTCCATGATGACCTGCACAGTCATGGGTCCGAGCTGTAAAACTTCCTGGAGAGCCAGCTTGATTGGGCGTCTGCGCTCCCATTGCTCTCACTGCAGCCTGGACGCAGTGCCGGGACTTGACTCCTGAGGAGGCGCTAATAAACCTTGGCCGAGCAGTGCAGTCTTCTCACGTGTCTTGGCGGGGGGGCTGCGTGCAGATCAGAGAAAGGCAGTGGGTGTCGCATGCGGGGCTGGGCTGCCTGGCGTCACTCCTGAAGGGATGGGGGTGGGCCGGGCTCCTCAGCAACCCCAGCCTCTCCCCGCGGAGCCCACGCCTGGTTCCTCCGTCTCCGCCGCTCCGATGGATGCTGGTTATCTGCTCACACGGCGAGTACGTCCTGGCTGCCTGCTCTGGGTGCAGGACAGTGAGCAAATAGGGGGAAAAACCCCACCTTCAGAGCTCGAGTTCTTACGGGAGACAGACAAGTCACGTGGAGGCAAGTGCTAGGTGGGAATATAACGGATAAAGAGGAATGAGAAGGGCCAGCCGTGTGTGTGTGTGTGTGTGTGTGTGTGTGTGTG